CTCGAGGAACACGATGAGCAATGGAAGATTAGTAGATCCAGGTGAACGTCTATAAATGAGTAAAAAGAAGAAAAGATATGACATATAAGAGTGAAGAGTACATGTTAATGATAAAAAGAAAGGAATGATTCGTTTCGCCTCTTAATCATACGAATCATTGTAACCTTCATTCCCTGAGGCTTCTTCAGTGATTGGGAATGAATGCATTGTGATGTCTATCATATGTCACCAGATGTTACAAGGGAGTAGTGAAAGTATTGGATCAAGACGTTAGTAGACATGTATCAAAGAGTAACACAAGGATTGCAAATTGCATATTAGGAACTAGGATGCGTCTCAGGTAGGTGTACGGTAATAAAATACTCAGTATTGGATACCGTAACAGATACGGTATTAGTTACTAAGTGTAAAATTGGTATTCGAGCAGATATACCTAAGGGTCATCTCAGGAATAAGATGCTGGAATCCTTCTTCTGTAGAAGGAAGAAATTTGATCTGATAACAGTTTATAAAATCATCACAGGCAGGTTGGTGATGGTTAGTAAGGGCTCCTTCATCCCTCTTCCGTCCCACACCAGAGGAGGTAAGTTCAAACTTCTTCTTACTAAATTCAAGACGGGTATTCGCAGTAAATTTTTCTTAGCAAGGGCTTCCTTGGAATTCAACAAATTTATTAAAAAGTTCGCAGTGCCTGGGAACATTACCCAGTTCAAAAGTAATATGCAAAAGTTTTACTCTTAGGGGTTAGTGTTTCAGTTCCCTAACACTATATTTTACTCTGAAGATTGGTCACCCTTTTAGTTCTCTTATTTCTTTCATTTTCATCCCAGTTTTTTTTTACTTTCTCCTTTGTTTTACCAGTTGTGTTCGGGTTGGTATTGATATCATCATTGTTGTTTTAGACCGATTTTGTTTTCTTGAGTTTGTGTTCATGTACGCAAGGTACATGTACAAAATAAAAATGAATGAAAAAAATTTGCAAAAGTTGTGGTATATACATATACCAATTCTGCCACCATTGCTAACTTTCCTGATTCGCACACCTCTTCAACTTCATCAAATAATTCGCCTGCGACCTGTTGAAAAGTGTGGCATTGACCGGATTAGCTGCAGTGGTGCATATCTGGACAAATTTCCATGGATTTATAGCATTCAATTCCGGGTGACAAAAAGTATATATGGAATATGGTTTGTTGAGGTGTAATGGAACAGTTCCTTTTGCCTCACCCTGCTTTGCTTTTATTTACCTAGTCCATGGATGAAGCTTTATTTATTATTTACCATTCATTTTGTTGTCAGTACATTTAATTAATTTACAGCGATGTTCGATGTTATTGGTGAAAGACCAACAGTGAAGCGCCACAAGCAGCTGGCACAGATTGGCAAAACAAAATCGTGTGGTGAAATAAAACATATGGAGAGACGTTTGATAAAGACTTATCAAGAAGAAAACATCATAAAGATGCCTAGGTGAGATTCTTTGAGCTTACAGTCATAACCATGCACAGTTATTTCTTTGTACAATTGGTTTATCACAAGGTTTCTGAATGAATGGATCGGCGTTCAGAATACAAGTCCGACTGTATTGAAATAAGGTCCTCTGTACGGGGTAGGCTAAATTATGATGACAAAGGCATTATGTCGTCAAAAGCACATAATCCTGATGAAGCAAACGAACCTCAGGGAAGAATTTGACACTCATACAGATCGGAATTGAAAATGCCGCACTGCGTTTAAACGAGCCTAAGGCAGGGGAAAATGCATGTGCAATGGAAGTTTAGGGGATTCAAGTAAGTTGGGGTTTTCACTTCCTCTCCAGGTTTACTGCACAAAAAAATTGAGACGAAGTAGGCAGGCTTAGGTCACACTTCCTCAACGGCTGTGGGCTTGAGAAATCCCTTTTTTCATTACGTTTGCTTTATAATTGAGTGAACCACCCTGTTCATGGTGAGCTAGTCTAGTGGCTGTCTGTCCACGACAAATATTGAGTATTCAGAGTGCCAGGTGGGCGATTACATCATTTTTTGGGGCACGTTTTGTAGCTTTGGAATCTTCACCTTTTCCTCCAGAAATGGTGGCACTCAACCAAGCTTCTTTGTCACGTTGAATTGCCGCTAGAGGTAGCGAGCGAGAATGCCGGTGAAGTCTGAAGATTGACATAACATGTGTAGTTGTTTACTCTTTCAAGAGGTGCCTGATATTTGGTTTCAATAGGAAGAAAGCATCGCAACCTATGATACAGCTACAGAAGAGAAGATACAAAAATAGAGGGATATGACTAAGCAAACACGCTGTCAATATAATTTTGGCCCATACTTTACAGTGATCTTCGTGCTGCACTTAATGCCTGGTGAAATAAGCGACTGTCAGTTAGTTCTAGCAGACAACCCACCAATTATAGGGGTTTTATATGGCCCACTAACTAATGCCTAAAATGCGAAGTGGCGCGCTGCCTTCGCTTAGATAGGATCTTGCTTGAGAGCTATAATTGACATTCAGATAGGAAACCCGGAAACAAGAATGGCTAGTGTCAGGTTCTGAACGGGCTGCTAAGTTAGCAGTGCTAACTCACGTGAGAACAGCACCCACAAAACGCGATATCCCATATTGAGTGACATATCAAGCAGGATGGTGAGAATGGAGTGGAGAGGGAGGGAGGGAGGGGGGGGGGGTGCAGGTGCACTCTATTTTGCTCCGCCTCTTTAGTGGCAAGGGCTTCAATAACTAATTTAACCCTTTCGGCCCTGGCGGTGGCAATTGCCACCACCAAATTCAAACGCTTGCATTGCCGCTGAAACAGCATGGTTTTTCTAATCCTGCTAGAGGTTGCTTCAGTCAACCTTCCCCTTCCTAATTATGAGCTAAACCTGCCATTTCATTGTGTGTTGCTGTTAGTATTACAAGTATTTGTGTACAAGTGCAACAATGAATCGGCGCTGACCCCCGCAACCGGCCAAGTAAGTGTCACTTTTTCTTAAAATACTTGAAGTAGATCCATTCCTAATCAAAATTATGGGTTATAATGTTATGCAAGATTATAAACTTTTTCGGCATAACTATGAAATTTCGAATTGTTTCGACATAAGCTTAAAAACTAAGAAGGTGGGCCAATTTTCAAAGCTTCTTAGTTTCTTTGTTTGTGATCGAATAGCTTCCAAATTTCGCCATAATGATACCTATATGCTCACAAGTAATAAACAATAGCTAGAAGAAAAATTTCTCCACGGGGAAAAATTCAGGTCCGAAAGGGTTAATCCTATGACGGGCGCTCTGACGTGATTATGGCATGTGGAACCGCAAGAGCATTTCATGCGGCTCTGCCCCGCTGGCTGGCGGTACGTTTCCATGAGACCCATTCTTGCTTCACTTCTTCTTAATGAGCCTTTTCATAAAAAAGTGTCATTTTTCTGTAGGAATGATGGAGTAGGAATGTGTGCAATGATTTAACATTAATTGAGGGGGCTAGGATTTTGCTGATGGATTCTGATGTCACTTTTTTCTGTCTGAGTTTCTTCATAGTCATGTGGAGTGAGTACTTCGAAATATTCTTGCGAGAATGCATCACACAGAAACCCTTGAGTTGGGGAAAGCAGACTTCTGTTCGAAGGGGAACCAAACAAGGTGCAATGTTCGCTTCAAAAATTTGCGTGACGAAATGACGAAGGTACGCTGCAAATTATATGAAAACCATACCACATGAGGAAGCAACTGTCACAGGCATACCACATCGAGTGTTTCCAGGTTACCGCAAGAGATGAGCATGATTATTTTCTTAATATCTGCACGATGTCGACAAATGTTCTCAAAGTTATGCACAAGGTGACACGTATATTTATCGAGAACTGAAATTTGAGCAGACATGAAAATTGTCGGCGTCCATTCTGATCGCTGGGGAATGCATCCCACTGATACAGCCGTATCTCTCGAATTTTTGCTAAGGAACTAGGCGTGTGAAAAGAGGTCTGCTCAGCAAATCCGCTTGATATTCCGTCCACCTCAACGCTGTACCGTCTGCTTTCTTAATCTCCACTGTACGAAAATCAATGTGGACCCATAAACCGTAAACACTGCCAACCGAAAGTGGCTATAATTTTGAAAACTTTACAAAGTTGAGTTTGCGTCGTATCCAGAGTTTTACGTTGAAGAAAGTGGCACTTTTCTACAAAAGCGTTGAGAAACAGCGAAGGGCTCTCCAAAATCCAAGCAGCTATCCAGACCACCTTTGTTTGAGGACGTTGGTCCATGAGCGTGCACCCGAATATAGGATCCGAATATGTAGGAATGTTACTGATATGTGGAGAGGAAAGTCACGGGTGCACTCGAGACGCGAGGGCGAAACCCTCGAATCACAACATGCCAAGGAAGTCATCGCTACAAATGGAAGCTGAATGGGGGATAATGTTAGATTGGCACATAACACTCGAGGCTCTTTATTTGAATTTCTGTCAAAATTTTTCATTTTATTGAAAGTATATAAGATTTCTAGCATGCCTTGCAACTCACCACACAAACTCGGTGATCCGAGTAGCCAGCCACCTCCTCGGTCGTTGCTTTCTTTGGCTAAGATTCCAATTCCTTCAAAATCTCTCTCTGAGCCTCATCTTTATGACTACGATTAGGATCTTCCAGCGTCTGCCTTAATAAAGGACTGACCAGAAGATAGTTGAGGGACACGCTCCCTCAATTTACGGTGCACCGGTGCTTCACTCTGCTCAGCGTTGACTTTTTTATTTGAAAATGATCCACACTCCAACCACCCGTGACTGGCAATCACGATGCTCCACCTGACGCCACTTGAAAAGGAATCTGTACATACTGGCTTTCATTTGCTGAAGCGCCCCTGATGAGACAAGGCACGAGTTTAAAGGCCGAATTCACGATTAGAATGAAGGTCGAAGAAAGGGAAACTGACGGATCCCCGGACCTCCTGAGGGTGCGAACTGACGCGCAATTCGCATGGAAAAATTTGACCTCTGCAACCTACCATGCCTCAAAGCTGGCGGGTCCGACGATCTCCGCCCACCGATCATCTGATCACTCGCCTAGTTCAATACGTGGCGAGTGATTAGATAGCTGAGACAGCGTTGTGTTGAAGAGGGCACAGCGATAATGGTCGCATCAATGCTCGAATCAAGGGCAAGGAAGGCGTACCATTTCTCGGCTTCT